AAAAACCAAAAAAAAAAAAAAAAAAAGGAAAAAAAAAAAGAAAGAAAGAAAGAAAGAAAGAAAAGAAAAAGGAATTCAAGAGCCAATCATTGATGGTATACCCTTTAACCCCACACTCTGGAGGCAGAGGCAGGCAGATCTCTGATTTCAAGGCCAGAGTGAGTTCCAGGACAGTCCGGGCTACACAGAGAAACACTGTCTCAGTGGAAAAGAAAAGGAAAGGAAAAAAGAAAATGGATTTTATAATTTATTGTATTATTTTTCATATTATTTTATGTAGAGGGAGGAGCTGATACTAAAATCTGGTTCCCTAATTGGTTCTTTATTTGGTCAATAAAGAAGGTGGAAGCCAATAGGTCCTGCAGGGGGAAAAAAGTGTGTTTTAATTTTTTTTTTTTTTTTGGTTTTTCGAGACAGGGTTTCTCTGTGTATCCCTGGCTGTCCTGGAACTCACTCTGTAGACCAGGCTGGCCTCGAACTCAGAAATCCGCCTGCCTCTGCCTCTAAAGTGCTGGGATTCAAGGCGTGCGCCACCACTGCCTGGCCACCCATTTTTCTATATGTAATTGGGATTCTGTCATTGCAATTCCACACATGGCCATCAGGTGTCATCCTCATGCCAAAGAATAAAATCTCTGAAGCCCAGTCCCCCTGCATCTACATTCCAACACCACCAAAATGTTCAGCGCTTCAGTTTTCCCTTTTATGTAATAAAACATCATACAGAGGCTGTCGCCGTGGTTCAGGAGGTGTGTGGTTGTGTGAGAGAGGAGACAGATGTGCTAGGTTGCAGGACAGGCAGCGTGTTATGTGTGTGTGTGTTTAGGAGATTCCAAATAGCCCTACAGAGTGAGACTTGGCTTTGGTCCCCAAAGGGAGTAGAGAGAGGCTCTGATGAGAGAAGGAAGGTCTCAGGATTGCCTCAGGAACTGTCTAGAATCCCATTTTTCTCTAGCTGAACACACTACCTTACTGTGTGATCCTGAGTTCTACAGACCTCTTTGTGCCTGTCTATATTAGGGTAGATTTTTTTGTTTTGTTTTGTTTTGCTTTGCTTTGTTTTGTGGTTTTTCGAGACAGGGTTTCTCTGTGTAGCGCTGGCTGTCCTGGAACTCACTCTGTAGACCAGGCTGGCCTCAAACTCAGAAATCCGCCTGCCTCTGCCTCCCAAGTGCTGGGATTAAAGGCGTGCGCCACCACCGCCCGGCTGATGTTTTTTCTCCTTACACAAGTTCATGGGAAATGTCTCCTTTAGGAAAACGGAGGCACATCAACAAGGTCACCCACAAGTGGAGACTGTCAGTGTCAGAGGCCACCGGTGCCAGTAGAGGGTGTCTGAGGGAGTGTCGACTCGTCCACTCATAGAGACCAGACAGGGCGCCAGGTTAAAAACAAGAGTTCACTTTAATATTGAAGTGCTATAAAGTCTCAAGGCGTCCGTGCCCACTGCGCGTGCGTGGGGACACGCCCTCCTATGTACAGATTCCTGATAGGCAGAGCCACTGCGCCCAGCCAGAAAACCTCATGCCCCGCTGTCCTGTGTCTGTGTCGCACCCAGGGCCTGCGTCTTGCTAGGATGTGTTAAGCAGTCTGTTTTGAACATCCTCCAGCACTTGACGGAAGAGCCCCTCCCGGGACTTCATGCCATCTAAATAGACTGACACCGGAAAGGGCCTGGATCAGGGCTGGGTCACAGGTAGGGAGAACGGTGTGGACTCTCTCAGGACAGGAAAGAGCAGCAAGAGAGCCTGGGGTGGGATTCAGCAGGGAGTGGGGAAGCCCGGGGTTAGAAGATTAGCAGAGCTTTATTCTGGTGCTTACCCACGTCCACCCCGTCCCTCTCCATTGCCCGTCTATACTTCTGGTACATGGGCCACACGTGACCGTCAAAGAGGCCAGGGGGATCGGGGACCATGTAAGTACGACTTCTGTGGAGAAAAAGAGTCGCAGGCCTATCACGAGAAGTCAATGTTTGAGGTAGACCACAAGTAACCGACAGGCAGGCTCTGCGTGTGGGATTAGACCCCAGGCAGAGGCTGTGGGACCCCCAACTTCCACATTTTTTTTCCACTGTTTAGCCTGTCTGGGGAAGGATGGGTGTGTGCTGTGTCCGGATCTGGGGTTCTGGGCTTCTGCGAGAGAGGAGGGGTCACCGCGGAGCCCACTGCCAGTGGCTGGCTGTGCCCCAGGGAACCCTGTGCCCATGGCACCCACCTCCTCCTCCGCTTGCATTCGTCATACGGCACGGTCAGGAAGTAGCGTTGGCTGTACAAGTCCACCAGGGGCCTGGCCAGGGAGTGGGGGGGACAGGGTCAGCTGATGTCCCTGCGGCACCCCCATGTCTCCCAAGCCCACATATTCGTCCCACTTCCACAGTGTAAACCGACACAGAGCGCTTGGCAGTATGCAGGCTCACACAGCAGGGTGGGTACAGTCAGCCTGAGGTTCTGGAGGTCGTCGGGCAGAGTGAGGCTTACTTGTAGCTATACAACAGGAACCCCTCGAGGAGGAGGATGTGGGTGTCCGAGGCACCTGGCTGGAGGTTGACGCCGTGAGCGCGTGCAAACTTGTGTGGATCCTTCACCCAGGCCTGCACCGTGCTGAGCATGGCCTCCATGTCCAGAGACTCAAGCACTAGTGGGACAGACAGCGGGCTCAGAGCGGGACCCGCACCCACAGGGAGCAGTGAGGCAGCCAGGGCAGCAGTGCTCTTACCGTCCCACTGTTTGAAGCCGTCCTCCCCGACTGCTATTTGGTCCTGGGGCTGAAACACAGGACCCCAAGGCCTGGGCTCAGACCTGTGCCAGCCCAGCCCACCTCGCTGCTGTAGGGTGGCCCTGAAGGGAGGTACGGTGGTCTGCCCATCACCTGTCACTCCTCCCTTCGAGCCCATTGCACAGAAGGAAAAGCAGAGGTATAAGAGGTCGCGGGTAAAAGCATCCCAACATGCCACATGCGGCCAGCATCCCCCTCAGTCTGACAGGATTCCCTGACGTAGGGGATTCATCCCCTGGGCACAGTAGGGCTAATGAGAGCGCCGTGCCCCGTATTCCCCACACCCTTGCGCCCCAGTCGGCCACCTTGTAGAAGTCATCCTGATGGATCACGCAGCAATTGGGCAGCGCCTTGAGGAGGCTGTTGGTCAGGGTGGTCTTCCCACCGTTGGTCACGCTGGAAGGGCGGCATGTGTGAGGCAGTGGGGAGATGCCAGAGCCCACCCCGAGCACCTAAGAGGACTTGGCTCGCCATGGGGCTGCAGCAGGCCCGTAGAGGTGGACAGGTGGTGTGTGTGCGCGCACGTGCGCATGTATGTGCGTTTGTGTGCAGTGACTAGCCATAATCCCAGAACTGAGAAGGTAGAACAGACATGAATTCCAAGGCAGCCTGCGCAACTTAGTGACGTCCTGACTCAAAACAAAGTGAAAATTAGGCGGGGAGTGGTCAGGCATAGCCCTTCCCCAGAATGCCCTGAGTGACTGGGGGTGTGGCTCAGGGAGGGGAGCCCCTGCCTAGAATCCCCCAGTGAAGTGCTGGGGGCGTGGTCGGGGCGGAGCACCTGCCTTAGGGATGGCAGGGTAGTAGGTCACAGCATTTGGTTCTTAGGGTGACTCAGGTCATCCTCAGCCATTTTGGAGGTATTGTCCAGGCCCTAAGTTGCCTGCTGTCTTGGCGCTGACAGCAGCCCACGTGGTGGAGGCCATGGGCAGACAGAGCGGTCCTTGATTAGCATCATTAGAAAAAAGGCCTAGCTTAGGCACAGGCACGCGCTGTCAGCTCGGCTGGGGCCTAACATGGGAGGATCTTCAGTTTTGGGCCAGCGTGGGCTACAAAGTGAGTTCAAGGCTAGCCTACATGACTGCTAGCCCACTCCAAAATAAAAAATAAAAAGAGGACCTGGCCAGTAGGCTTGCTCTGAGGACTTGCTCTGAGTGCCGAAGGCCCTGGGTTCACCCTGGTGCTTCCCAGCTGCTTTCCAGGCTTTCAGCCTCCCGAGTATCTTCCTGCTGATCTTTAAAACAATCCGTGCAGGTGCAGTGGGGCCATCTGTGTCCCCTCTGTGGTCACCAAGCCCTCATGCCAGCAGACCGTGGAGAGCTAGCACTTTCTTCCCAGGGCCCTGAGGCCTTTTCCTCCCCAACCAGGGTCCCACTCCAGGTCCCTGTAGAGCTCACCCTCCAATGCCTACGATGAACTTCATTCTGGGGGCTGAAGTGCTGACCGGTCCTCAGGTGGCCCCGGTACTTGTGATCTGCAGTGTGCTGTTCCTGCAAGTCCCAGCTTCATTGACAAAGCTGTAGGGCATTTATAGGTCTGGGCAGCCTGGAGGCCGCTCCGGGGGAAGAGGCCCCCAAGCACTTGCGAGGGCATTGGGGAGCACCTGTTTCATAGGCTGTAAATAGCTTCTGTACCCTTTTGCCTAAAAAAGTCACGAGCCAGAGGGACAGAGGGACAGCAGCCAACTTCTCCCCTGTGCCCCTGTGTCTATCTCCCCTCCTCCCTCCCTCCTCTGTCTCCTCCTCCCTCCCTTCCTCCCCTCCCTAGTCACACCTTTCTCTCCCTAAAAATATCTGCCAGTTTGTGTCTCCTGGCCTGACCCTGACATTGAGACTGGTTCTTATGAGGCCAAGAAAAAGGGCTCTCCATCCTCTCCCCTTCCTCCCCTCCTCCTCTCCCCCTCCTCCTCTCCTGCTCCTCCCTTGGCCCCAGCTCAGCCTTGCCAGGAAATTCCTTTTCCTAAACTGTCATGGTTGAGGTGGGTTTAGGCCTCTGGATGGTGAATCACAAGACAGCTTTGCTCTGATGACCAGGTCTGGCCACAAAATCCTTTTAGAGTGACCCTGTCATTGTGAGCCCACCATGTGACCAGAGTCATTGAGATCATACTCAGGGAAGCCAGGCTGGGGCATTGTTCCCCACTGGTAAGGGAACAGAAAATTGTTGTTGGTAAGGGAAAAGAAATGTTCTGTGTGTCTGTCTGTGTGTATGTGCATGTGTGTGTGCCTGTGTGTGTGTATGTGTGTGTCTGTATGTGTGCATGTGTGTGTGTGTCTGTGTGTGTCTGTGTGTATGTGCATGTGTGTGTGCCTGTGTGTGTATGTGTGTGTCTGTGTGTATATGGATTACGTACATGTGTATATGTGCCTGTATGTGTGTGTGTGTGTACACGTGTATGCATGTACATGTGTATATATGTGTGTATGTGTGTGTCTGTCTCTGTGTGTGTGTGTATGTGTGTATATGTGTGTGTCTGTCTCTGTGTGTGCGTATGTGTGTATGTTTGTGTGTGCATGTGTGTGTGTGTGTGTGTGTACAGCCATGTGAAGAGGCCAGAGGTCCATGTCAGGTGTCTTCTGGGTCTGACTGGTCTCAAATTCCCCATGTAGACCAGGTTAGCCTGCCCCTGCCTCCCCAGTTTGAGATTAAAGGTGTGCACCCCATGTCCTGCTGTATCTTATCTATAAAGGTTTATTTGTATTTTTGTGTGGTGTATGGGTATTTTTCTGTACATGTGACTGTTCTCCATATTTGTGCCTGCTGCCATCAGAAGCCAGAAGGGGAGATCAGAGCCCCTGGAGCTGGAGGGACAGGCGGTTGGGAGCCACCATATGGGTTCTGGGATGGAACTGGGGTTCTCGGCTGCAGCAGCCTCTGGTTTAACTGCTGAGCCATGTCTTCAGCCCTGTCCACTTATTTTTGAGGTGGGGTCTGACCCTTGAGCTCTGTGGCTGGGCTGGGTGTGTAGCCAGTGGACCCCACTTTGGCTCCCCAGTTGTGAGTTACACGTGTGACAAGATGCCTGCCTTTTATCTAGGTTTTGAAGGAAGGTCCTTCTGCCCTGTGGCCAACCCTTACCCCATGACCCCCAAGTCCCCTGACCTGTCCTGCTGGGGCCACCCAGACCCATCTCCTCTCTGCTGTGCCCTGCTGGCCTCACCTCTGGGGACGCACACTGTCCTAGCCTATGGCCGGTTCTTGCATCAGAGAGGACTCATCCCCCAGGATGTCTGGCCTTTCCCTCTTGGTCCCCAGGGACCTGAGCAGGCACTGTGACCAAGATAGGAAAGACATGGACACCTGGGCCCCACCTCCATGGGGTGATGGAGTGTGTGAATGACTGACTGTGTGAACGAATGAATGGGTTGAGGAATGAGTGAGTGTAGTATGAGCCTTTAGAAAATGAACAATGCCTGTCCTGCCCAGCCCTGTCCTGCTGGCTCGGCCCTCCCTCTCTGGGTGCTGTCACCATCTCACTCATATCACCCTGTATATCCAGATCACTGCGCACTGGCCTCTGCTTGGATTACTAGAGCTTCCATCTGTACCGCAGGCTGCTCTGCACTCTCCGCAGTCTTCTTGCCTCGGCAGCCCCCCGAGTGCTGGGATGTCATCCCCGGGTCATCATACCCAGGTCACCCATCACATCTTGCTGGCAACACTAAACATAGCCGCGTTCAAATGCCCTAGTCTGTGTGTATCCTGAGGTCCAGGCTGAGGAGCCAAAGTCTTTGGTGGCTTCCCTTCCTCCATTTCCCTGCAGTAGGCAGAGCCATGCACCCCTCTTCCCCCAAGGCTTGGCCACTGATCACAGAGGCAGGAGGCTTGCCTTCTGCACCCTCCCTGTATCTGGGAACACAGAGACGCTCACCTCTCCCTCCGCATTATAATTTATTTTACATAAAACCCCCAGCCCAGGCTCAGCAGGCCCCATATCACTGCAGAGACATCCCACTGTCTCTGTTTATAACTGCATGATTTGCTGGTGGGTGGTGGCACTGTTGCTCTGGGCCAATTGTCAAATGGATCCTGGGCGTCTCAGTAAAGAAATCAAACAGCTCTTCACCACAAGGCTGTTGGACCTCTGCATCTTGCCTCACTGTTCCCTAGGTACCTGGAGTGGTGGTCCCATGTGTGGACTAGGATATTAAGTCCCTCAGAGTCTCCTGTTTTGGGGTCTTCGGTGGCCCTGGTGGGTTCTGCTTGCTGTGTCAGTGAGTACTGGTGACTGCAAAGGGGCTGTGGGCACGCCACGGCAGCAAGCAGGTGGATGTAGCAGGTGGCCCCCCATTGGAGTTTCCTGAGCTTGAGGACAGGACCTCAGACCTTTGGGGACAGCAGGGTTGTGTTATCAATCCATCCCAGACACAGAGGTCCTCACCTCATAGGCCTTGGCTGTCACCAGCAGCCACCTAGTCAGGAAAAGCCCTTATGATTTTTTCCAAAAAGGCAGGAGGGACCATCTGTGGACCTGGCCCAAGGGCATCATCTTCTGATGTTGGATAAACACAGCTTACAAAGCACTAGCCCAGACAGGGGTTGGGGGTGTCACACACCTGCATCTCAGCTCGCAGGAGGCTGAGGCAGGAGGATCAGGAGTTTGAGGCCAGGCATGTCTTCATAGCAAGATCTTGTCTCGAAACAAAACACAAAGCACTGGTCCACACCACTCTCGTAGGTCCCCTCCTAGGGCCACAGACTGTGTTTCCAGCAGAGCTCAGAGCCATGGGTGCCGTCGTCAGGACTCTGCTTCTCTCTCAGTGAACGCTGCTGTCTTGCAGCCATCAGAGGCTGAGCAAGAGACACGTCAGAGGGGACACCTCACAGTGGGTTGGATAGAACCTACCTTTGGAGGAGAGCCACAGAGGCCTCTCTCTCTCTCCTTCTTCTTCTCTTTTTCTTCCTAGATAGGGTCTCACTATGTAGCCCTTGCTATCTTGGAACTCACAGAAATCCCCCTGCCTCCTACTCATGAGTGCTGAAATTAAAGGCATATGCCACCAGGGCTTAGTGCTAAGATTTCTTAACATAGAGATACTCAGGTCTTTATGGAAGCACAGGGAGAGTCCTCCCTGCAAATGTCATCTGGCCTCAGGTGTCCCTGGGGACAGGAGGTTCCTCACACACATTAGCTCAGACTGTCTCGTCATCCCAGGCAAACGTGTGCTTTGGTCCCAGCTTGGAGATCAGGTGGCCCCGCAGCGTCACGCCCACTGGGCTATACTGTCCTGGGGGTTCCCCAGATCCTCTAGGTCCCACAGCCCTGGATCTTCATCTTTCTTCTCCTCAGACACGAAACTGTCTCTTGCTTGGTGACACACGAGGCTGAGTCTGGGCCAGGCAGGGGACAAGAAAGTGGATATACAACTCCGTCCCTTGGAATGAGGTGTCAGTTAACCTGGAGTCACATCTACTTTAACAGAGCTCAGAAATGTTGTTGAGGGGTGGTTAGGCAACCACCAGGCTGGTCAGTATGTGTGCAGTAGGCTTGAAGACCCCAAAGACAGTCAAATGGTGAATGGGGCATGTCAGGTGGAGATGTGCGGTCAGCAGTTAGCCCTGCTTGGGGTAACATGAGGGGGGGACAGTGGGTCACTTTCCACAGAGAAGCAAATGCAGCTGCAGCCAGGGCCACCAGGCATCTGAGGCTCCGGCTAGGGACAGGTGGCAACCGAGCAGAGGGTCTCTCACTGGGTCAGCCCAAAGTGCACATCTGTGCTATCCTAGCTGGGACAGAGAAGGACATCTTGGGGGTGCTGAGACCTGGAGGAGTAACCATGGTGACACTGCCCACATCCAGCTTTGACATCCAAGCTCAGAATGTGAACATGTCAAGAACCTGCTCCGTTCTGAGATGTGCTCATACCGCCTTCTTCGAACAAAATAGTGAAATGTACTCAGGAAGCGAGAGGACCGGGTGCAGGGGGACATGATGGAGCCAGGTGTCCTCGGGCAGTGGAGGCACGATGAAGGCAGGGTCCCAGGGCTTCTGATGAGGGTCACATGATGTTGGGAATAATCTCTGTCAATCTCTAGGTTCTGGTTAAATCAGGACATGCTGGAGGGCAAAGGACAACTAGGGTAGGATCCATGTCAGAGTAAGCTCCCACAGGAAGACGCAGAGTGAACTAACCTGTCTATGGAGGGTTCTGAGCAAAGAGAAATGACTGCCACCAACACTCCTAATGTACATCCACCCATGTGTTCATCCATCCACTCATCCAACCATCTATACAAATACACACACACACACGCACACACTCATATCTCCACCCACTCACCTACCCATCCACCCATCCACCCACCCACCCACTCACCCACCCATCCGTCCATCCACCCACCCATCCACCCATCCATCCACCCACCCATCCATCCACCCACCCATCCATCCATCCATCCATCCATCCACCCATCCATCCACCCATCCATCCATCCACCCACCCATCCATCCACCCATCCATCCATCCACCCATCCATCCACCCACCCATCCATCCACCCATCCATCCACCCACCCATCCATCCATCCATCCACCCATCCATCCACCCACCCATCCATCCATCCACCCATCCATCCATCCACCCATCCATCCATCCA